CAAGATCTGTTATAATATGTTGCCCAAGTTGTCCACAAGTTGCCCAAAAGTTTGTACCATACAAATTCTGTTTATATCTCAGAGTTTGGTTTTAGAAATTATCCCATAATTATGCCATCAGATCTCACTCATAAATCCTGCTGATATTCATGCATGTCTTGAGGCCTCCCATGTTTGTATTGGTAGTGAAGACAGAAATGCTGACCTTAATCGGTGATGATCCTTACATCAAACGATTCTACATTAATCACAAAAAGTGTTGCTTACTGTCTCAGAAATTGCTGTGAAAATAATGACAATAGTTCTCTTTGGCTTGAGTTGCTGATTTACGATCTTCACACAAAAATTGTCATCTTCAGTGGCATTCAAGGCTTCAGGTTTCCCTATCTTAGTGGATGTCAAAGATCTTGCTAACATTCATAATTTTCCCAAACTGTTCTAGATTTCCCAAAAGTGTGAATGAAGATGTGATTGATATCAAAGCTTAAGGTTTTTGCTACTTGTTTTCATGACGAAGACAACATGATAACATCTTCAAGTTTCTAGTCTTAACCACATTGCCAAYATTWTCAGTGATTGGTAATAAAGAAGTGATTTTATTCCAAGAACCTTGAAGGCTTACATCTTTGATGGATGAAAAGGSTTACATCTTTGATGGATGAAAATGTTCAAGACTTTACAAATGATGTGGTAAACTTTGTTCCATGACATCCAGACTATCATCAGTATTCTATGTATTGATCCTACTGATGTTTTTGTTTCTTCGTCTTCTTCTTCATTCATATAATTTGTAACTGAATGTTGTCCAATATCAGAGGTATAACCTTCTGTTCAGTGCCAATCAATGATACATCTACATGCACCATATATGACTGTAAATCTAATAACAATCTAATAACAATCATTCCCAATACATGTTTTCAAATATTCTCTCCATAATACATGCGTATGTTTAGATAAATGTACTACGTGTTCACAAATCTTTTTTCTTTGATGATTTTACAGTAAATACTGCAAACACACATTGTCACAGTTTTGCCTGAACCACTGTTGCTGTTAGTTATAATGTTGTACACCAATAACATACAGAGAGAAGAGCACATGGTACAGGTACCTTCCTTGCAGATGTGCTGAGAGAGTTATTTTACTTTGATTTCAGGTTGTAAACTACACCATGTTCGCTTTGCTAATAATCAACAACTCTCTGATGTATTAAATCCAATGAATGGCTCTTTGTAATGCTAACAAATACCATTTAGTAAATGAATGTAGTTTTTATCTTTTTCTTTTTTCTTATTATTCCAAATATCCTCACTCTGGTTGCTATACATTTTCTTGTTTAAATCACAGGTGTTGCCATTAGTGATATAATTTTCTGTTGATATGCAAGTAATATTCCAGTGCCAAAGATTTTTTTTGTTGCAATGACTTTGTTTGAAGATT